AACACCAGGCAGTGGTGGAGGGTGATATTATTATTATCAGACACAAGTCTGTTCTCAGCCAAGGCTGTCTTTATTTCTGAAGGACATGAAATCCCATACAAGGCTGGTTCTACCTGATGATAACTGACGGTAACTGAGCGGACCAGGACTCCGACACTCTTGCTTGCCTACGGCTTATCAGTGGTTTTCCTACCTGTTTTAGGAATCACACTGACCCTCTTCCACATGAGGAGATCTACTTCTCTAATTCAGCTGCTGCCCAAGTGCTTTTTTTTTTTTTCTTTTCTGAGAAGGTCTGGCTCTGGCTGGAGTTCAGTAGCATGATCTCAGCTCACTGCAACCTCCACCTCCCAGGCTCAAGTGATCCTCTCACCTCAGCCTCCTGTGTAGCTGGAACTACGGGCATGTACCACCATGCCCGGCTAATTTTTGTATTTTTTGTAGACACAAGGTTTTTCCATGTTGCCCAGGCTGGTCTTGAACTCCTTGGCTCAAGCAATTTCCCAAATTGCTGGGATTACAGGTGTGAGCCACCACATCCAGCTCCAAATGCTCTTTCTCTCCCACCACCCTGCTGTCACCGTTCACGTTGGTGCACAGTTCCTGAGCCCCGGAACTATGGCTACTCTTTTTCCACAGCACTCTGCTCCTCCTGCCTTCTCTGGGCAGTTTTTCCAGCTTGGTTTTCCCAGCACTTCTGACTAGCCAAGCAAGGATTTATGGATACTCAGAAAACATCCATCAAAAGAAAGGAAGAACGGCGACCAAGGGACTTTCCAGCAGATTGATCTGAAATGTCTGCATACAACATGGAACTTTCACCAAAGAGGATTTAGTTAATATGCTCTAAATGCTTCTATCAGTTGGATATAATCATTTGTGCAAGAATAATGCAATTCTTAAAGTATTCATGAAATTTTATGCTGCCATAAAAGATTAATCAAGTCTGATTTATTTACCTTACAGTCATTATGTTTTCAAAGCAAACTCCCACAGGAGATGGAATCTCAAATTATTGGACTTAACTCTCTGCAAGAAAGAGAAAAGATTATTTAAAATGCATCCCACATTGCTAAATAAATGTTCTCATCCTAGCGTTCTGGTTTGAAATTTTTTGCAACTTAAAATTTCTATGAAAATCATATCTCAGTGTAATCCTCTATTCAGCCTAGTAGTTCTAGAAAGTCTGTAGTTCTGACTAATTATACTGATATCTCTGCCACCCTCCATTCTGACCACCAATTTCCTGGAATTAAATAAAGTATTCGACAAGAGTTGGATACAGCTTGTATTAACTGCACAGCCCAGAGAATTTCCACAGGGCACATTCCCAAGACCTGCAGAGCCCATATGAGACATGCAAATCTCATTTTTCCACATGCAAGATAAGAAAGCAACACTGCTTGTTTATATCTTCTCCCAATTGCAATCACTTCATAGAAATTATCCCATGGGGTTTTTTTTCTTTCTTCTTGAGACCAGGCCTTGCTCTGTCACTCAGGCTGCAGTGCAGTGTCATGCCTCACCGCAGCCTCGACCTTCCAGGCCCAAGCAATCCTTCCACTTCAGCCTCCCAAGTAATTGGGACTACAGGCACAAGCTACCTTGCCAGGCTTTTTCAAAAAATATTTTTGTGGAGACTGGGCAGGGGGTTGGGGTAGGGGAGCATCTCACTGTATTGCCCAGGCTGGTCTCAAATTCCTGGGCTCAAGTGATCCTCCTGCCTTGGCCTCTAAAAGTGCTGGAATTAGAGGCATGATCTACCACACCCAGCTAAGTGTTTGTTAATTAACAATTTGTAATTCAGAAACAACAGACTGTAAAATCCTCCTGTGGACAAAAATTGGCACAGTCCTGGGTGCAATGAATTCTTTGAGTACAGAAAGTGGAACCATCCCATCCTCCAACATCCAGCCCAAGGCCTTATATGAGAAAAAGATCAATACATAAAAAGTGGGATTTTTTTTTTAATTGAAACAGAGTTTTCCTCTTGTTGCCCAGACTGAAGTGCAGCGGCACGATCTCGGCTCACTGCAACCTCTGTCTTCCAGGTTCAGGCGATTCTCCTGCCTCAGCCTCCCAAGTAGCTGGGATTACAGGCAGGTGCCACCACACCTGGCTAATTTTTATGTTTTTAGTATCAATGGGGTTTCACCACATTGGCCAGGCTGGTCTTGAACTCCTGACCTCAGGTGATCCACCCACCTCGGCCTCCCAAAGTGCTGCTGTGCCGGCTTATACAAGTAATTGTAAACGAAAAGGAAAAAATGGAGACATGGTTTTTTCATGCATCTTCAGCTTCGGTGCTTAAAAAACGCCATTAACTTCTGCTCTCACATGAACACACACATGATTACCATGTTTGCGCTGGGCTGCCACATAGAGGAAAGACATACACATTCAATAAGTATTTGTTGAACTTTCATTCTGTATACAAAGCACAAAGATTCGTTCACATTCCGTGTGGGTCCTGGAAAGCAGTTCCAGCCCTGCCTGCCAGGGGGCACCCCAGGCAAGCACATCTCAGTGAAGTGAAGCCGTCTCTCTCCACACCCAAGTGTTTGGTGTTCTAGGCTCATAGAGAGACAATGACAATGCGGGCAATTCTCTCTTCACTGTATGCTTTTCTTTGCTAGAAATGTTGTTAGAATGTGGAAATGTGACCTGTCCATTGAGAATTCAGCACTAATCAGTTTCACGAGTATATCTACAAATACCCATATTTATCCCTAAAATTGTCCTAAATACTATCTTTCTTGACACCAAATGAGAAGCAAACAACCTTTACAACTAAAAATTAAACCATAAGATTAACGCCTTAGTTGTCTACCTAGAAATTGTACAGTATGACAAGTGTAAAGAAACCGCTAACTTTCTAGTTTTGCCGGTCTTTACACAATATTATTTTTAAATGGTTTTATGGTAGTAAACTATACATCACCTTTAATTTGCCATTTAATCTTTCTTAATGTGTACAGTTCTGCAGCATTAAGTACATTCATATTGTTAAGCAACCATCACCATCATCTGCTTCCAAAATGATTTCTATTTTCCCAAACTAAAACTCCGTACTTATCAAACCCTACCTTCCCATTTCCCAGTGCCCCAACTGCTGGTAACCACACTTCCACTTTCCGTCTCTATGATTTTGATTGCTATGGGTACCTCATGTAAGTGGAATCATACAGTATTTGTGACTTTTGTGATTGGCTTATTTCATTTAGCATAATGTGCTCAAGGTTCATCCACGTTGTAGCATGTGATGGGGCTCTTCTTCCTTTTCAAGGCTGAATAATATTCCACCGTAAGTATGCAATACATTTTGTCTCTCCATTCATCCAATGAACACCTTTTGGCTATAGTAAATAATGCTCGTATGAACATAGATGTGAAATAATTGTTTGAATCACATAATAGAATTTCAAATCTATATTTTAATGAAAAATGTTAAATTATTACAGTGTTATATTTCCATTTTTATCCTCAGAATACCAATAATAGGATTTGGCAAATGGACTACAAATATTAACAATTTCTAGTGTTTTTGTGATCAACAAAAAAATAAACTATTCATACTGTGCTTCTCAGAGAAAATATTTTAAATCAGAAAAAATATTCAAGTATTTTAAGGCTTTCAAAGGTAGTATTTTTCAATTAAAAATAAAAAACTGAGTCTCCATAACTATTACCTACTCCATACATACACCGCAAAAATCCCAAAGGGAGAAGATATTTTAGATGCGCCTTCAGGCACTTAGTTTTTCCTCCTTGGGATAACTTGAAATTCAGATCCCAGCAGAACAAGCACATTCTTTGGGGCAAGCCGACTGCCAGACTGAGCTGATTTAAACGCTCATGAAGGCAACTGAGGGAAGCCGCTCCATGGAGACTTGAAAACTATCAGCCTTGCATTTTGCCACATTCTTGGAATAAACTTATTACTCATAAAAATGATTTTGGAACCATTACAGCTTGTAGAATGATCACCGAAATGCAGTCCACCGATATATCCCCGGCTGGCCAAGCTCTGTTCGACCTTGGGGAGCAGGAAGGGGACCCGTGGCCTCTCTAGACTGTGCCCAGACGACAGACAAGGACGTGATAACGCCCTCGCTCCGCGGCCTTCCGCGGTAGGCGACCCTCTCAAGCGTGGGTGAAACCACCCCGAAGGGAACAGAAAATGTTAAAACCTTCGCTGGGTGCCGGCAAGCAGATTAGGCCTCACCCTGGCATCTCGTCGCCAGGACCAGATAGAGCGAGTGACACACGGGGACACCTTCCCCGTCACCTCAGGCCAGGCCAAGTCTTGAGCGCACTGGTTCAAGTTCTTTTTAGAAAATAAGCATCCGTGTGCCTGCCGGCTAAATTAAGTGTGCCTGACGGGAAGCAGGATCGCGGCCGCTATTTATAGCCTCCCGCCCCGCCCGGGCGCTGCTCCTCGAAGGCACCCACGCTGTTCCCGGTGGCGCTTCCGCTGGGCCTCCCTGCTCGGAGCACCCCCACGCCCCGCCCCGCGTCAGCCGTCGGGACCAGCGTCCCCAGGCGGCGGCAAGCAGGCGAGGCAGAGGTGCCCGACGCCTACGCGCCCCCCGTCCCTGAGAGCGCCCCGAGATGAGCTGCCGCCCGGGGCCTGCGAAATCCAAATCAGGCGCGGGCGGGGCGCGGGCGGGCGCCCCCCGGGCGGGTTGGGTCGGGCCCACGAGCTCTCCGCTCTACTCTCCAGTCCCGCGCGGGCGTGCTCCCGCGTGTGTGGACTGCAGGGAAGGCCCCGCCTCCACGTCCTGAGCGCCCGCTCAGGTGCGGGATGGGGATGCAGGCTCATGGCACGGGCGTGCGCTCGGGCTGGGGTGTGGAATGGGGGCGCGGGGGCGTGCTGTGGCTGCGCGTGCAGGGTTGGGATGCGGCGGCGGCGGCGGCAGCGGGTGTGCACGCCGGGGAAGCGCGTGGGGCGGGGCTGGTCGGAGGCGGCGGGGGCGTGGCGCGGCGGCCGGGGCTGCGGCGTGGGGGCACCTGGCGCTGCGCACACTGGGCCGGCGGGGATGGCGGCTGGGGCGGGGAGGTCAGGCCGTGGCGCGGGGCGCACGCGTGAAGCGGCACCGCACGTGTGAAAGGAATTCTTTTCCGAGCGGCCCGAGCCCTGCTCGGGAGGAACGCGCCCGGGTCGCCGCCGCAGCAGAGCGGGGTAAGGCGGGCCGGGCGCCCGGGAGGCCGGCGCAGGGGCCGAGGGCAGCGCGGGGCGGCGGGGACGTGGAGCTCCCGGGCTGGCCCCGCGGGCTGGGACTGCGGAGCTGGGAAGCCGAGCCCCGGCGTAGGTGCGGCTCCCAGCCCCCTAGGATTCTTTCAGAATTCTTTGGAAAGTTGTGGGGAGCTCGGGAAACTTTGTGAGAAACTTTTGAAAAAATTGATCCTCCTCCTCCTTTGCTCCTGGAAGTCTGGAGAGAGAGCAGCGACTGGTTTGGCCTCCCTTGATGGACAGTCCAAAGCCGAGTTTAAGTTGTTTTCCTGAGGTTGTTTTATCTCTCAGGTGGAGGAAGCCGGGTTATCCCGGACCATCAGGGTGTAGAGCTCGTAGCGATACTGAAATACTTGAAAATTCTCAGCGGTCGTCACCGCGCACCCAGCCGTCCGCGGGCATTCAGCATCGCCGTGCTCCCAAAAGTCCTGTTGGGATTGTTTAGAAACGAGGTTGGTTCTCTCACCTACATTATTTTCAGAAACTTTTTTAAAACTTTAAAACTTTTAATAGCTATTAATGCCATGACCAAATTTCTTGACCTACATGTTTGTTGTGATATGTTCAAGTATAAAGAATTTGCAGAGGAGTGGAAAAGCACCGTCCGAGCCCCTTCTCGTAGGAGACTTGAGAAAGTAAATTGCAGTGACGCGGCCGCTTTGCTTTGTTGCCAGCTCCACACTAGTGAGCAAAATTCATCCTACCACGTTGAGTTCTCAGTTCGTGAATTTGTGACTGCAACTTTAGAACTCCAGTTTTTATTTTATCAAGGTGTCTCCAAAACATGCCATTTAAAAATGTTTCTATACAAATAGCTGACAAGTGAATTATGGCTCTCGTCACCCAGGAATTCAAAACCATGGTGATTTATATTCTGTGCATCGCTTTACTGGCGGTCCATCGATGTGCTGTGAAATGTATTGCAAGGCAAATATTAGAAGATTAAAGAGGAAAAAGGACAGATTTATTTTCCAAATATCAGTGTGTTCAAAGTAAACATCAGCTAATTTGGCACAGATTCCACTTGCTCAGCAGTGTGGTTCATGTTGAAGGAAGCATCTCATAAGGGCAATGCATGTGTTGGTATAGTGAAAAGTAATTCACAAAACTGTACTACTCTAACAAATTAGACAATACTCTTTCTTAACCATGAACTGTTAACTAGCTGAAAGCTGTCTTAAAAGAATGGCAGGTAATAAAAATCTTTGGCAATAAAAAAAATATTTTTGACCCAATTTTTTGAATGTCACTTACATTTTAACTTACTATATTCATTTATCTTAGCTAAAATAACGTGTATACACTATACATTTGAAATGAAAAATTATATACATTTATCGCAGCCATTTATTTTTTTTCTTGAGATGGAGTCTCGCTCTGTCACCCAGGCTGGAGTGCAGTGGTGCCATCTCGGCTCACTGCAGCCTCCACCTCCCGGGTTCAAGGGATTCTCCTGCCTCAGTCCCCCAAGTAGCTGTGACTACAGGTACCCACCATCACACCCCACTAGTTTTTGTGTTTTTAGTAGAGACGGGGCTTCACCATGTTGGCCAGGCTAGTAGTCTCAAACTCCTGACCTCAGGTAATCCTTCTGTCTCGGCCTCCCAAAGTGCTGGAATCACAGGCATGAGCCACAGGACCGGGCCCACTGCAGCCATTCTATAAAGCCTCATGGATGCAAAGAATTTATTAGTCTTCCAGATGTGGCCATTACTTGAATATGTGCCTAACACAGATAAATAGGATATAGATATTTTTATAATTTTCCTTCTGTATCGCACATGATTATGCACATTACATTAATAAACACATAGCTTTAGCAATGTACAAAAATATTATCAGAACCTTCCAGAAAGCAGAAAGACCCTTGAGAAGCATTGCACCCTACTGTATAGAAAGTCAGCTTCTTGGGATCTCCGTATGAAGAAACTCAGCCAAACCCAATTGGTGGCTTGATTAACATACAGTCTCCTCCTTCCTCCCTCAGCTGGATGGTAGCTATTCCCAGTACTATGTAGTACCTACATTTTGATCTGTTTTTTGCCAGTCTGCCTCTCCCGTAGGTTGCAAATGAACCTCCTGAGAGTATAAAGACTGGATCTTAATTATTTTGCTATCCTCAGTGTGGCACAGTGCCACACACAGTAGGTGTTTAATAAATGTTTACTGAATTGAGGAGGGACAAAAATCCAATACATGTGACCTTAACAACATATATGTCTCTAAAAAAACATTGTTTTTGCAATTTCTATATAATGCTTAAAGGCAATGAAAGAGTAATAAAATTTCATCTTAATTTTCATTCCTACAGTGTGGAAAATTCCCATGATAGCTAAGCTAGTACTCTACTGCTTTTTTGTTTATTAATTTGTTTTTGTTTTTGATTTTGGAGATGGAGTCTTGCTCTGCCGCCAGGTTGGAATGCAATGGCACAGTCTTGGCTCATTGCAACCTCTGCCTCCGGAGTTCAAGCGATTCTCCTGCTTCAGCCTCCCAAGTAGCTGGGATTACAGGCATGCACCACCATGCCCTGCTAATTTTGTGTTTTTAGTAGAGACAGTGTTTCACCATGTTGGTCAGGCTGGTCTCAGACTCTTGACTTCAGGCCTCCCAAAGTGCTGGGATTACAGGCATGAGCCACTGCACCCAGCCTATTGCTTGCTTTTTAAAAACTCCTCTACATCTCTAAAAGTAATGGTTGATATGAATAGTTTCTACAGTCTTATGTGTTTTTTTTTTAATTTGAAGAATTGGTTTGCTTTAAATTTACTATTAACAAACTAATGATACTAGATATAACAATCATTTAACTTTTTACATTTAGACCACCTGATTATCTCCATAGATTATTCCTTATTTATTTCTGAAACTCCATTTTCTGTTGACTTTAAGATGAACCTTTTATTCTAGAACATAGAAGCAATTTCTGGTTATAAATAGAAGTAGTTTTAATAAGAAAAGTGAAATCATACTATAGAAATTTTTTCTGCAAAAAAATAGAAAATATTTTGATAGATGTAATTTGTATCCATAATATATGTGGAATAATAAAATACCATAATTATCAGGTTGTGGGATTTTGTTCACTAAGCAAGAGTAAAAATGTCTGGATTTGCTTTAAAAAGATAATTCTGGCCTGGTGTGGTGACTCATGCCTGTAATCTAATCCCAGTACATTTTGGGAGGCTGAGGCAGGAGGATCTCTTGAGTCCAGGAGTTTGAGACCAGCCCAGGCAATACAGTAAGATACAGTCGGCCAGTCGCGGTGGCTCAAGCCTGTAATCCCAGCACTTTGGGAGGCCGAGGCAGGTGGATCACGAGGTCAAGACATCAAGACCAACCTGGTCAAAATGGTGAAACCCCGTCTCTACTAAAAATACAAAAAATTAGCTGGGCATGGTGGCGCGTGCCTGTAATCCTAGCTACTCAGGAGGCTGAGGCAGAAGAATTGCCTGAACCCAGGAGGCGGAGGTTGCGGTGAGCCGAGATCGCGCCATTGCCCTCCAGCCTGGGTAACAAGAGTGAAACTCCATCTCAAAAAAAAAAAAAGATACAGTCACTCCGAAATATAAAAAAAAAAATTAGCCCAGTGTGGTGGTACACACCTGTAGTCCTAGCTACTCAGGAGGCTGAGGCAGGAGGATCATTTGAACCCAAGAGATTGATGCTACAGTGAGCCATAAGTATGACAGGAAAAAAAAAAGGTAATTCAAATTTGTGATGAAATAATTAGGCTATCTTTAGCATATCAGTAATATTTAACAATTTTATAAAAGGTAAAAATGCCCCCTCTAGACACTTTGGATTGGAAGAAAAGAATGAAAGTTTAAAATGTACTTCAAGCCCACGTTTCTGAACATATGCATTCCAGTATGTTAGAAAATAAAATGTAATGCAAAAGGCATATAATACATAGTGCCATAAACTGGACAGTGCCTGCTGCATCACCCATGAAGTGGTGTGGAAGGGGAAGGGAAGTTGGACCAGGAGCTGGAGGTTGGCCACTTCTGTGCTGGCGTCAGCACTGTGGGCTGTGCAACTGTAGCCTGCTCTCAGGACCCTCTCTAAGCCATCATTCCCAGTTTGTAAGATACGGAGCATAAACTAGACCACATCTAAGGTTCATCCTGTGCTAACATGCTAAGATTCCGTATTTCTTCTGTAGAAGATGAGTAAGGTTCCTGAAGGTTGTCATTTGGAATTATATGAGGAAATTGCCTTTTAACTGACCACACCGTATTTATGAGGTCAGTGCTTGATCTCCTGTTCAGACATCCTGACTTGTGTTTTGGACGTGACAAAAGCCTGTTCTGATTGCTGCTATGCTGAAGCACCCCTGTAATTTTCTCTCTTACTTACCCTTGCCCCAAGCCACCTCTCAGAAAGTGTACTGGTAAATTCAATTTTACTTTAACGAAGTCACTTTTTCTCATTATTCAACTTTTAAAACTTTGAGGACTAAAACATTGAAGGAAATAATAGCACTAAAATGTCTAAATAAAATGTTTGGATAAGTAAATAATTTCAGGGAAATTCTTAAGTGGTTCACAGAAGTCATTAAAACTTACAGGCCAGGCATGGTGGCTCACACCTGTAATCCCAGAACTTTGGGAGGCGAAGGCCGGCGCATCACCTAAGTTCGGGAGTTCAAGACCAGCCTGACCAACATGGAGGAAACCCTGTCTCTAAAAAAAATTTTTTTAATTTTTTAAAAATGAAAAAAAAACTTACAATGCCCTTTAATAATTGGCAGAAGAAACCAGATGGCTTCACTGGGAGACGGAGCTGGGCCATCTCTGGAGGGTTGAAAGGTACCCCAGTGGGACGTGAACAGTCTTGGCAGGTAGTGTTTCTGATTACACTCCGACTCTCTACATTTTTCTGTCAATTGAATTGAAACTAAACCAGCTGTTAATTTTCTAGCTTAATGTTAGAACTCCTTGTGGAAA